ACCATGCAATTAACAGTAACTACATCTTAATATAATATTGCGCGTTTTGCCTGCAAAAGAAATTATTCATTTAATCACCATATTACTTTCTCCTTATTTATTATTTAGTTTACAATGTTTATTATCAAATACAGCATTAAAAATCTAGTTATATGCATTCTTCTAGTTATTAAGTTTCTTTTACGTTAATTGCTCAAACCTCTTTTGCTAATTTAAAAATATTTATTACTCATTTTAAATAATATTATTTACTCATTTTAAGTTTTTACAATTAAAAATATTATCCTTCAAATCTTGTCCGATTGCTAAGAAAATCTATCAGCACAACTTGTTATTTTCTTCACAATAAGTTTTTATTATAAACTTTAATACTAAATAGTATTTTATTGGTAGGTTGCTTTAACCGTATTCAAATTTTTAAATAAGTTTATTAATTTCAAAATAAATGTTCCGTTGGTAATTTTACTCACATGGTTTGTTTTTGCTGACGATTAAAGTAATAGTAATAGACCAAAACCAGCCAAAAAGTGAAAATGAGTAGTTACAATCAACCGATTATTTACCTGACCACAAATGGCCACAAAAGCTTAAATCTAATAAAGTAGTTGGTCATAATGATATTTATTGCAATGTTATTATCGACTCGTAAGAAGTCATTGAAAATATTCTATTTCAAAATTTAAAATGTTCGATAGAACAGGTAATTTTCAAATGAAATTTGAATTGAACAGGGAAATTTCAAATGAAAATTCTTAATATTTATCAGCTAAATATTTTTAATATACTTTGTTTTATGTTCAAGTGTAAAAGCAACGAATCTCCAGTTTTAAAAGATAAAAACAAATATAACTTAAGAAATGATAATCTAATTCGGCAACCTTTATCTTTAACTAAATTTGGAAAGTCATGTATTTCATATTGAGGAGCTTTTCTTTAGAACAAAATAGTTTTAAAAAATTTCGATTTTTCCTATAAATGAATTATCTTTCATTCAAGAAAAAACTAAAAGAAATTGTTTTATCTTTTGAAGACATGTTTTTATATTTTTAAATTCTTCTAAAAATGAATATGAAGTTTATTATATAAGGTAATATATAAATATTATATCTAATCCACAACCTACGTTCTCGCTAGTTATTACTAATTTTTACTACGACATTGTTTTGTTTTTTTGATTTTATACTTCATGTTAATTTAATGTACTTAATATTAACGAGCGGTTCTCGATGATAAGACCTGAAGGTCTTCTGCAAGTCTCCGCGGTCTTTTTTTTTATATATTTTCTTTTAATGTATAACGATTTTTATCTTAACTATCTCATTGTATAATTTATATTGAATATTCAAGGAAAGAACAAAAAAAAAAAAAAATGGCACCACTCCAAAAGAAATTGTCAAGATGCTAAGCAAGCCTCTAATTCCTTTTTACACTGTGAATAAACGTTTTCAAACGAATGGTCGTGTTAAGAGAAAGCTTAGCAGCGGTTTAAAAAAGTCATTATCTCCCCAATCGATCAAGGCTGTCAAGGGCCGAATTTCTCAGAATCAAGTGAGGTCAATGAGGGAAATGCCTAAAGAGCTCTCAGTAAGTGAGCACACCATCAGAAACGTGGTCAAAAAGAATCTTAAGGCAAAGTCAAGAGCAAAAAATACCAGGTTTCCCAAAGTGTCAAAGGAAAAAGGTTTAAAAGATCAAAGAAACTTCTAAGCCTCTTGAAGAAGAGACCAACGACCATCCTCTTCTCAGATGAAAAATTGTTTATTGTTGATTCTGTGTCAAACAGTAGAACTAATTTTATTATTCATCAACCAGTCAAAGCTGTCCTAGAGCATGTAAAGTTTACATTCAAGACCAAACATCCGATTTCAGTTATGATGTTTGGCCTGGTTTTATCTGATGGTCTCAAAATGCCTCCGGTTTTCATCAAATCTGGTTGAAAAGTCAATGACTTTTTGACCAGCTTTTATAAAAACCAAAAACACCAATGAGTATACATTAAAATCCTGGAGAATCATGTCAAACCCTAGATCAATACCCACTACAATACAGACAATAATGTGGTGTTCTAGTAAGATGGAGAACCACCACATGCACCACATAAGACCCAGAGGTGGCTCCAGTAGACCCTGCCAAAACACTGGTAAAAAGTGTTATGGCCACCTGGATCTCCATATTTGTCACCTCTCGACTATTCAATTTAGACGTATTTATAGTCAAGGACCTTTCAACGTCCCCACAACAGTGTCAATTTCCTGAAGGCTGCCATTAAGGAGTGGAACAAGATGCCGAAGGACAATATTCAGACCACCTGTTCCAAATTCAGGAGTTGTCTTGAAGCTGTGATCAATGCTGAGGGAAGACATATTGAATATAAATGTAGTAAATGTCTTTTTGTACACCTTTTAATAAATATTTTTTATTTTTTATCGTCTTTTAAAAATTATTTTTTAATGAAAATTGCGGCCCCAAATTTCGGAAAAAAACTGTAGATTATACTTATAAAAATCAAATGTTTTACACTAATGAAAAATTTCTAAGAGTTTTAATGGATTTAGGGCCGGCGCAAGGTGTCACGTGGGGGAAGGGTGCGCCATAAAATTTCCCAATCAAAAAAAAACGTTTTTTGAAATTTGCTGACTCACTGTTCTAAAAGGTCTACATTTGCCAACTGACTTGTCTGAGAGGGTCAACTTTGCACTCTTAAACGTAAAATTCATTGATGGAGGGGTCACACCCCTTTCGCTCAAATCTTAAATGAATGTCTGTACTGACATCCATTTTTTGAAAAATAATAAATGTCTACTGACATCCATTGTTTGAAAAACAATCGATTTCATTACATGACATCCATTTTTTTTTTTAACGGATGTGAAGAAAACTTTTTTTAAGTCTTAACTCTACTTTGTTTTGTTCCATGCTGTTGTTTTATTCTTATGTTGTTGTTTGATTCTAATGTTCTTGCTTGATTCTCATATTGTTGTTCCATTCTTCAAATTTGAAGATAAAAAGGATCAAACCAAACCAAATAATTTAAACATTATATAAAACTTTTAAATTTATCTGTTTAGAAACTTTTAAATTTATCTGTTCAGTTTGGGCAATTTGAATTAGGGAGCATTTCAAGTAATCGGACAAAGCTTTCTTCAGTGGTGTAAGGGGGAGAGATAACACAGCCTCCTTTGATATGCCTGAAATGTTGTACTTAGTTAAGTTACACTGTTCTAGGAAAAAAAATGTTGAAATAACCTTTAAAAAACATCTAATTTTATTTAGAAAAACGGCCCAACTCATATACGGTCTATGTGAAACTTTTAGCATTGTCTACATTGCCCTGTGTTTACCATACTTCTTAATAACTACAATAACATCTTAATAGATTTCTTTTAAAAGTCAAGGATTTTCAATGTTAAACCATAACAAGATTACAACGCTCTTCCGAAATTACCATGTTCAAGGTTGTTTACATGGTCATGTGAGATCATCGTACTGCTTACTTAGTTTGTTTTGATTATTTTTAAAACAGTCGAAATATCAATCTTCTAATTACGATCTGCTTTCAGAAACCTCGTTTGTATTTGTTAACATGTTTTTTACAAACAAATTTAAACATTTATTTATAATGTTTGTGAATAATTTCATTTGAAATTTATTTACTAATTTTAATATAACTAGTATTTGAATTTGAAATGTTTGTATATCAAAATTTTAAGCTTCAATTTTCTAATTTTTCTTTGTTAGTATATTTTAAACGTCATTAACCCAAGGCCCCTACTAAGACTGGGGCCCTAAGTAATGGCTTAGTTGACTTATGCCTTAATCCAGCTCTGCTTAAAGGATAGATGGATAAACAGGCACACAGTTCTGGATTGTCTGAAAAAAAAACTTGGATCAATAAGCAACAAGAATTCTTTTTTAGAGTTCACAATACTGATGATTGTAAAAAAAACCAACCAGTTAAAAACTGACCTTAACTAATTCCAGGAGAACTCAAGCCTAAGCTCCAGTAACCGGATGTCTGTTTTAACAAACCCTTTAAAGATTGACAACAGCTCTAACAAAAGGTGTCAATTTGCAAAAACCTAACATTACACATTTTTTAAATATTTATTGAAATCAATAATGTTTGATAAAGAATCACACTCAAAAGTTAAGAAGGAGGATTTGCACCTTCTCTCGTTATTGAAAACCTTTTTTTTTTCTTATTTAATCTTAATTTTTTGTATGACTATTTTACTCGTCTTTTTTTTTATAGTTGAATGTTTATTTTTAACTAAATTAATTATAACCTAATTTATGTTATATGGATCACTGTGCAATTTAATATGAAGGAAGTTTAGGAAAAGTTTAGAATGATGACGAATAAGGAATTCGCGTTTTAAATTTTCCGCCTTTTATCTATATTAAAATCTTTAGCGCACTTGCCTCAGAAACAGAGGATCTGTGGTTCCAACTCCACCTCTGGGCAAATTTTGGAAGGAGGACCTTCCTATTAAATGCTCATCCGCGGTGCTCTGTGATTGTAAGGACTTCTTAGGGCACCTAAATAAAACTAAAAAAAAAAAAAATGTTTAGGCAAAAACTTTTTCATTTAAAAACGAGTGACTTTTCAAGATATTCAAGGTGCTTCTTAAAAAATTCCTTAATTGGTTCACATGCATTTTTTTTATTTGTAAAAATTTGCATGTGAAAAATTTTTATTGTATGTTAACCGTAAAAATTTGCAATAAATAAAACCCCACATACTTAAGGCGGAAAAATGTTTCGAAATGCTAATGATTTTGCGATACATTTTTCCGCTTAAGCTTTTGAATACAGTTTTTAAGTTGTCAACCGACCGAAGTCGTTTGGTGGGATTTGTTTTGCGATTATTTTTTTGTGTATAGATAGCCTTTTATTAAAGAGAATATTTATTCAAATATGAAAAAAAAAATCCCAGAAATATTATCTCCATACTAATCGGTCAATAATAACTTTGCTATGTTATTTTTTATTCAAATTGAAATCAATGAAAAACGACTATTTTGAAAAAGTATTAAATTATTAAAATTTGCATATATTCTTTTATTTAATTATCTAAATTTTTATTGTAACGTTCATTTATGTGCAAATTTGTCGTTTTAAAATTATTTCTCAAGAAGGGTTTAGTTATGCCGAAAAGCAACGAAAACATCGTTAATAATGATGCCGAAAGCTCAATCAAGGCCGACGATCATATTGAAGATGATGTCTTTACAAACGAGAACGATTTAAGTCGTTTACAAATTTCATCTTTAAATCAACGAAGTCACCACGTTTTTACTTCTGTAGTGTCTTCACACGAAAGGTCGTGTGTTTCATTACCTAGCCAAAGATCATCAGGCCTGATACTGTCCGATCATGTACACTCAGAACTTATACAGTCAAATCTATCAGATAGTTGTGGAAATTCAACATTAGGAAATTTTGGCGATGCTTCTTGTATTGTTGCATGTGGGATAAAAAGAAGGCCGTCATATACGTCCAAAGCACCTTCAGCTCTTACTCATCTTCCAAAAGTGATAAGTGATATTGATAATAATTCTGTTCATATTAGTCCAAATGATTTTCAGACTTCAACAAGTTTTGAAGATCACCATTCCCAATCAACAGAAAAAGTTCTAGATTCTATTAATATTCGTGCTCAATCGAGGTATGAAATTGATGAGTACTCAAATTCTGACACACCTGATGTAACTTCATTTGAAAATACAACTACTAATCTAACGCAAAGTAATGCATGTAAAAATACTAAAGATATGAAAACTAAAGAGTCATTAAATCACAGTAAATGGGATGCTGCTGTAAAATTAGATGTTTTGTCAGTCAGATGTCGAGATAAAGTTGGAGATTTGCACAAGATGCGATTTGGATCTGGGTCAAAAGGAAAGTGTATTAAGGTGAGAGTATTAATTTAAAAAACCTCAAAACATTCTAAAGCAGTTACAAATTAATAAAAGATAGTTTGAATAATTTCAAAATCCACAATTTTTTTTTTTTATTAATTAGCACTAGTTTTAAAAAATTTCATTTTATCTTAAAAAATAAACACTTTCAGAAGTTATGATTAGCATCTAAGTGTCTTGTTACTATATAAACTAGGTTTTTTGTTTTATAAAAAATCATTACAAAAAGCATTTTATAAAAAAGGTAAAAATTTAATCCATTTTTTAAATTAATTTTTGTTCTGATTTGGTGACTGACATTTGATAAAATTTTAATTAAGTTGTTATCATAAAAGTCTTTTTAAAACTTATAAAACTTAATTTTGATAAAAATTAAGTTTTATAAGTTAAAAAAAACTTTAAAACTTAATTTTGATAAAAAAGATAACTTTTCTTTAATATGTTGTTTTGAAAATAAAAACAGTATCTTGAGTTAATTATTAAAAAAAAAAAAAGAAAAACAAGTTTTTTACAAATTTAAGTTAAAATTTCTCAAATAGTTGTTGTCTATAAGAACAAGATAGTTTTTCTATAAGTGATAATAATTATGTTCGATTTTATACAATTCTTTTTTATAATAGATGCAGTTACAACTTAAAGGCATATTTATAACATTTTGTTATAAATTTCTGTTCTTAGTTGTGGAATTATTTTGAAAATTGAAAGAATTTTTGTTAATTTTACTAATTTTGCTCCAAACCATATCTAAGAAGCTAAATATTATTTGTATCAGTCAATTAAAAAAATTAAAAACTGCTAAAACTTAATCTCTATTAAGCTTATTATTTTATTGAACAGAAAACAAAATTGTTTATAGTTAATATTTATAGTTTTTTTTAATGAAAAGAAAAAAATATATAAAAGAAATATATATAATAAAAACTTTTATTTATCATCTTAAGAGGGCAGTAATATTTATGCAACTTTTGATTGCATTAAAAAAATTTACATAAATTTCTATATAGAAATAAATAATTTATACTTAATTTTTTTTTTATTGCAGTGATCGATTTTTGCTATGGAGTTGCCGACATTTTAAAAGTTTCATTATCAAAAATGAAATGTAAAATCAAATGATATTTCCTTTTTATCCGTATCCAACTTAGCAAATTTAGCAATTTAAAATAAATCAGCGTAATCAAAAAATTTTTATAATAAAAAAAGTTAACAATTCATCAATTATCTCTAATTAATACTGTCAGTTTATGAAATTAATTGTTAATACTTTTTTTCGACTGGAAAACAAAAAATATCATAGCGTAAAAATAACCAGAGAAGTTAGAAAAAAGTTCCCATTGTTTAAATAAAAATAAGTAAGATTCAGAATATATACTACTGCGCTCTCTTGCACAAAAACGAGAGACCGTATACTTAACGTTCTATATAATGTAAAACACTAATATGAAAATCATAAGATTCGTAAGTAAAGCTTTAATATTTGTTTTAATTAATAAACAAAAGAAATATAAGTAAGATATATAAATCTAAAAATTATTAAGATATTGGTAAAAAAAAAAAGTTCCTCTTATGAAATAAAAAGCTTTTATTATTTTTGATTTTTACAAAAATTTGTTATTAAAGTTGTTTTGCTGTATGTTAAAATTTTTTTTTTCTTAACTAAAATAGAAAAACTCAGCTTTGTTTAATTACACTTTTCTATTGTTAAAAATTTACCATGACGTCAAATGCTAAAACTTTTCTCGGTATGCATTCATTATTTATTTAAAAAAAAAATTATATTCAAAAAAACTTGGTTGAAACCAATTTTTTTTAACATTATCTTTAAAATGAACACAACATGTGTTGGGAGTTTGGGATCCCTTTAATGATTATTTAAAAAATAATGATTTAAAAAAAAATTAACATATTTTATTTTATAGCAGCATCCCATTTATACAAATGTTGAGAAAAACAATTTTTTACATGAAATTTTTTTTTTTTTAATGTAAATAAAATTTATTATTTAATATTAAAAAAAATTTAAAAAAATAAACATTTTTTAATAGTATTAATAAAAAGCGAGTTAAACAATATTTAACTTGTTTTGCAGTAATCTTAATATTATTGCAGTTACTTGAAAAAGTTGATGTCTTAAAAAAATGAAAAGATAAAGAGAATTTTACGACGTCAAATTCACATTAGGCTAATACGTTAGCATTTGTTATTTAAAACGAGGCCTTTTTTTTAACAGAAAAATAAAAAAATCTCAGTTATTTAAAAATCATAGTTTCAAAATATAAAAATGGTAAAAATATATCTGGTCAAGTCGGTGATGCAAGACATAGTTTAAAATTATTTAAACTTCAACTCTTTTTAAAATTTTATTTTTCTATTATTAAAAAAAATCTTTGGTTTATTAGAATAGAGGCACGTCTTACATAAGTTTTTTCGGCTGAGTCTTTGACTTTTTTTTAGGGGTGGATTTTGCCTGCCGATGTATTGACCATTTATCCGATGCATTGGCATCGGTCTTGATAACCATTGGTTGATGCCGATTGTTTTGTAAACTTTAAAAATTTATTAAATTCTTATTAAATAAAACTTAATAAATTCGGACCTTTTTTACAAACATTTTACATTTTACACAGAAAAAGATCTTTACAAAAATCATTCAAAATGTACTGTAAATTACATAGATAAATTCCAGAAATTTACTTTTAATTTTCCAGAAATTTCCGGATGTTTTTTGTTATTAATTTGAGAAAAAAGTTTATATATTTTTACATAAAATTTTAAATACGACAACTTTTGCATTTAAACAAATGTTTTCTATAATTAAAATTTTACGAGATCAATTTTTGTAACAATTTTTTTTTTTGCTTTTTAATTCATTCAAATAAACTTTTTCGAATATTAGAAATTCCTTTTTGTAAAAAGTTAAATATTCTAAATTCTGTTTTAAAAAGTTTACGAAAGTTTTTGTTGTCTGTTACGGGGTTATTCATTCCTATATGCGCGTCTTTTCAATTTTATATGTGTTTCATTCTTATATGCGTTTTAAAAAAGCAATAAGAACAAAAAAAAAATCATTTAAGCATTTTGTTTTGAAAAAACAATTTACTTTTTTCAAAACAAATTTTTCTTTTTTCCTGGTAAACGAGGTGAAAAATACTTAAAACAAACACTTATTACATTCAATGATGGTTTATTTAATTTAGTATCAGGTCTTTGTTTAATTTTATTACATTGTTTCTTGATTGATTAAATTATTATTTATCTAATTATTCATTATATAGATTTAAATTTAATTATTTATAATTATTATTAATATATCTATATAAAAATTTAAAAGCCTATTTATTTTTTATATTAAATTATATTATAGATTTTATGGATGGTTGACTCGCATATAAATGCGCATATAAAAATGAATAACCCTGTAAAACAATAAATTTTTAATTAAATAATTTTCCGGGATTTTCCAGAATTTTCATAGAAAAAAATTTCCGGGATTTTCAAAAAGTCAAATACTCATCTATAAAATTAATATAGTATTTGTAAAATCAAGATATAGGTAAAATATTGGATTATAATAGTACGATTTAAGATCTTGTTTCCTTAGATACTGATAATATATTTTTTTAAATTTAATTCCCTATCAAATACCAACGTTTAAATTTTGACATATTTCAACTTTTTTAGAACAGTTTATCCCAAAATTATAAAATACAATAAAGTCTCATTGTTTCTACTATGTATTTTTTCTCTTTATTTTTGACTTTATTCTTAGAGGTTACAATATCGGCAACCTTACCCTAAATGCAATGTATAAGCCTAACTTATTAATAATAAGCTTTATATAGGCATATATGCAACCACTAAACTAAAAATTTTTGAACTGTTTTTAACAGGGTTCCTTACTTTTTAAGTGTTTTCTTATAATTTATGAGAAATTTTCTATTAAATAATAATAAATTATAAAGAGAAAATTGCTTTAAACAAACATTTTTTTAAAACTCATTCTGTTATTCTTTACAATCAAAATGTTTCATTACATTTATAATAAAATTAAATAATAAAAAAGTTTATTATTAAATTGAAAGCGTTTAATAAGTAAACATTTAATATAAGTATTGTTTTATAATTTAATTTTGTAAAAACATTTCTAAAAACTTGCCAATTATTAGAAATAACAACATCAAAATCTTCAATTCATTCCTTATAAAAAAGGAAATCCTTTTAATTTAACAGATTGACAAAAATAAATATTTATAAAACAAGCTTTTTAATTAAAGTATTAATGAGTACCAAACTGTGGATATTATTTTCCAATGTAAAGAAAATTTGTGGAAAAAGTGTTGACTGAGTATTTATAGTGTATATTGCAAAATAAACTCAAGATTCAGTTTATTTTCCAGATATAAAAATCCTAGTGATTTCTACAAAGAAAATAGAAATACAAAAAGAATCAGGGTAAAGTATGTTAGCTTTTTAAATGCCAACAAACTTATTAAAAGCGTTAATATAATATACCTTATTGTTCCTTGTTATAATAATATGATTATTGTTTTTGAAATTTTTATTTTAATGCTAAACCTATTTTATTAAAGAAAATTTGAATTTATAAGTATGTAACTGGTTTAAATGTAGTTTCAGCCATTGTTTAAGTTATTCACGTTATGTTTTCACTACTTTCCAGCTAGTCTGGAATGTAGTGAAAATCAATTGTAATACTCTACTACAAAAAAATGGGGACCATGGCTCCTTACTGATATATGGAAGTCTATATACTTGCTGATCAAATTCCTTATGTTTTCTGAAAGATCAATAAATATAGAACAATGTGTACAAAAAAATTTTTTATTATCATCAAGGTCACATAGGTTTCCTCGAGCATCAAATATATAAGTATATAAAATCAGGTGTATAAAAAGTTGACTTAAATTTATTTAAATTGATAAAAACAGGTATCAATAATTCTTTACATTTCTGATCATTTCATTAGATTGGTCACCCCCTGAAAATGCTAGGTACAAAAAAACCTCTAAATAAACATTGCAATTCTGAGGGGACAAGAGGGGCCTGGCCAATATCTACTAAAAATAAAATAGTCAAATTTTAAGATCTTCTTGCAGCTAGAGGCTAAATATTTCAAGGAATTTATATGTTACTAAATAATCTCAATTGTATAAAAATTAGCAAAGTTTAAGATATAGGGTGATATTTTTAAAAATTTCTGGGTTATTTGACATGGAATTACTCACTAACAAATTTTTATAAACTGATTTTATCAATTGGTTAAAGATAAGTTTTTAATATTTAACAAGATTCTAATAAAAAAAGTATTCAGAGAACATGAATTCAGTTGCAAAAAAATATACACCCTTTAGGATCATCAGGGAAAATTATATTCTTTTAACCACCTGAACTCAGGGAATATATACTTGAAAATAGAAGAAAATCAGAAAAAAACATATGAAAAGTTGGTTTTCAAAACTGTCACAAACCTTATAAAACTTTAAATTCAGGTATTGACAGAGTTCAATTTTTATTAAATATACTTTACATAGGTTATATATTATTTATATTTATAAAAATATCATGTTTAAATTAATTTCTCACAAAATTAGGAGACAATATTTGCTCTAAATTATTAAACATTATAAAGAGTTTCCAGATGTGAAAAAGTTAATTGTACTGAAGAGCTTGAAAATTTAAAAATTTGAGGACTGTGAGAAAGTATTAGTATAGTAAACATTATGCAAGCTGAGTACAAAATAAGGTTAATATCATTTATTAAAGTATGTATATATTGTAGTAATTATTTAATATTTTGCAGTTAGAGTATTCAATACAATAATATAGAGCCAATATTATATTAAAGCTAAATAATAGACTTTTTTTACTTTTAACTTTATTTAAAAAAATTAAGTTTTATGAAAGATAACAAAACTTGTTATAATTTGTTGTTGTGTGTAACAAAAATTATGTCATAAAGTTAACTTAACATGGTTTTGATATTTTTAATTGCCTTGTAAAATACCTCATCCATTTGTTTTGCAATATGTTGAAAATTTAATATGTTTACCCAGATAAGTTATTTTTCAGAGAGTTTGTAACAAAGAAGATTTTTTAAATTTATTATAAATATAAATAAATAAATAGTATCACTAACTTTTTCTCACAATTTCTTTTTTTTTAATTTTTTATAATTTATTTAAAAGTTTGATTATAGTTATGAAAAAACTTATTTGGTAAAGATGTGCCAACCATTCACACTATTTTTTTGATTACTGATTAAAATAATGAAAACAAGATCAAATGATCTCTAGTAGAAACAAGATCTTAAAACCTCAAAATAATTAAATTAATATCATGTCTATTTTTTAAATAAAAGTTCAAGATTAATAATCTTCTCTTTATAATAATGCTAAACTTAATAGTAGTAGTAGTTCCCCTTCAAGCACATTTGACACGGAACCGTTGACAGCCATTGCAATGAGGTAATGGCGAGAAAGAGTCGCAGCAGTTATTTTAATTAGAAAATGTTAATAAAAGTTAGTTCAAATATCTAAAAAGCAAATATCTTCAAATTATGTAATAATAAAATATCTTAAAACATATATCAAGTTTTACAGTTTTACTAACACTTGAAAATTGCATTTCGGCAACATCTCCTTAATATTGATCAATAGCATTTATTTCCGTTTTATAAAGTGGTTAGCTCACAGAGTTTCTGAAGTAAATCACTATAGTTTGAATCTTACCACTGGAACGTTTTTTTTTAATCTTTTTTAATTTTTCTAAAATACAAAATCAAACACTTTTGAAGTTTTACAAATATTGTATACATAATATATGTAAAGCTTATACACTATAACAAACAAAAAGAATATAATTTTTAAAAAAGTATAAAATTTCTAAAAACATTAAAACACTGGGAGAAATTTGTTGCAAATATGTCATGATAAAAATATGTTATTAATGTGCTCAGGTAATTGTTACAGGTAATAAGCTACGGATGGTCTGAAAAAAAAGGGTCTGAAACTTAATAAAGAAAAAATCTAATATGTCCTGCTACACCAGAAGGTCCTGCATAAAAAAACTTTTAAATTTTATTTTAACAAATAAAAGTCTTTTTTTGCAATATTTATTTTTTGCTATACATATATATGGCCAGATTGAAAAAATTGAAAATATATTGTGTTAAGAGGTGGATTTGAGTCCTCCCAAAACGACACTGATGACAGCACATTAAACTACCAATCTAATGAATTATACATGTAGATTAAAAACAAAACCTTTTAAACTATTATAATGATTGCAATTAATCAACGCTTTTTAAGCGAATTCTCAAAATAAGTGCAACTTTATTGCATAGGAATAAAGTTGCACTTTAGAAACAAATATGTTACTAGCAAAGGTAAAAAAATTATAACTTATTATAACGTTTTATACCGGATCGTGTGTAAGAAGACGTTTCTAATAATTGCAAGTCTTTTTTTCTTAAACTATTTTATTTTTAATTTTTGTATTTATGTTATTGTATTTAAAAAAATTGACAAGATTGAAAAAAACATGAAACATATTGTCTCATCCAAGTAGAAAGATATGATGTCATGCAAGAATCCAAATAGCAACATTTGGCTCTGCAACAAAAAATGTTTGCTAAATAGATTCCCAATGGTTTTTGAATTTTTTTGTTGTAAAAAATGTAAAGTTTATATCTCTTTTTATTTTTGTAGATTATGAAAAAAATATCTTTTAGATTGTAAACAAAATAAACTTTTTTGAAAAGATATTGAATGTATTTTAATTCGATTGGTTTTTACTGATTTTTTTTTTGTTAAAAGTGATATTTTTAAATACCTTTTTTTTATTTGTATTTTTTTAATATTAATTTGCTTTAAATTTTCTACTTTATGTTGATTTTTATTTTTATTGTTAATATTGATTTTTTAAAGTTGGATAATAAAAAAAATTTAAAGCTTGAATTATTAACTTTCTTAAATCAAAGTCTTAATATAAATATAAAAATTAGTTTCAACTATTTTTGTAAAAAATCCATAGTTAACAATAATATTATATTCAATCTCAAACCTCGCTTTAAAGCATTATGCTTTTTTTAACTAAAAAATTTGCAGTTTATTTATGTGTATGATTTTTTAAATTAAAAAATTTGCAGTTTACTTATGTGTATGATTTTTTAACTGAAAAATTTACATTTATGCATACTCTCATTTAGTTCACACTAAAACTTTTTTTATTCAAAATATTTAAATTATTATAGCAAATTAAAACATGGAAAACAGCAAAGTAGAAAAATGTAGAAATAGTTGCATATATGTAAAATTGACTAAAAACAAAGGTTAACTCTACAAAAACAACACGTTTGTTATTTAGTTAAATAATTTGATTTAACCTTTTTTTTTATAAGAGTGGAGAAAAATGGTATACACCTATAGAATTTGAAACATTTTCTGGAAGAGCATCATGTAAAGATTGGAAACGAAGCATCAGATTTCATGGTCAACACATTCAAAAGTTAATAGATGACCAACATTTAATACTGCATGCTATTTCTTGTACATGTGGAATATGCTGTGGTGACGAAACACTTGTAAGGATTGTACATTTCTTATATATATATATATATGCATATATATATATATATATATATATGCATATATATATATATATATATATATATATATGCATATATATATATATATATATATATATATATATATATATATATATATATATATATATATATATATATATATATATATATATATATATATATATATATATATATATATATATATATATATATATATATATATATATAGGCACACACACACACACACACACACACACACACACACACACACACACAAAATATTAATTTTTATACATACACATAAAAATACACACACATAAAAATGTTAATATTAATCACTTCTAGTTGTAAATTTATAATTATAAACTGGGTTTTGATGCTTTATAAATCTTTAATTTAGTTCTGACAGCTCTCCCCTTTCCCCTTTATTATTCCTTTTAAAATTATTTCTTTATAAATATATATAATATCTAAGTATTTATAAGGATTTACAAAAGCCTTCAAAAAATGTTATTTAACAATTCGATTTACAGTGCGAAATTGCAGTAAAATTTTTTTAGAAAAATTTCCTTATTAGAATTTAGAAATTTTTAAGATTCTCCCATCTGTTAAGGTTTCCATTTGACAGATGAGAGTAATAGAAAGTAGTTTTAAAATAATTATGATTTTAAATAAAGAGCAGCTTACTGAAATAATAGTAAAAAGTAAAATAAAAATATGTAAAATTACAACAAATTTTTTTTACAATTATTAAGTAATATTAAAAATGCAACAAAATGAACAAAAGTTAACTCTTTTTAATAAAATAGATTGCAGCAATAGGGCTCCTAACTCTTTTTTCAAATTTTTAAAATAAAGTATGTAGTGTGGTAGTGGTGTAGTGGTAGAGCGCTCACTTCATAAACGAGTGGTTCCGAGTTCGATCCCCACCACGTCCCTGGTAGTACCGTGCTCAACTCGTTTCTCCGCATAGCGGCCTTGTTCGTCATGGTTCGTGTTTCGGGGTTATAGAGTTGAGAGAGGGTTATAGCCACAAAATAAGTAGCCTCCTCGTCTGTAGTGGCCTTCTCGGCCTTGAGGCTGTGAAGTAAAATAAAAATAAAAAAATAAAAAAATATAATATAAAATAATTTAGTCATACTAAAAAAATTAGTGGACTAATTTTAGCTAACTAAAAAGTTAATCAACTAAAATTAGGTTAGTTTTAGTTAAACTAGAACTAACCTTAACTCCCACCCCTTAATATTTGCAGTGCATGTAATGAATAAAATTGCCCAGCCTGATATTTTGCGTTGATATTACTGAAACATGTTGTCAACGAGCGCGATTATGCGCGCTCGGCATTAAGTCTTCGAGAGCAATATTCAGAGTTGGAAATTGGTCGCCATGGGGCCATCCATAAATTACGTATGCAAGAATGGGGAGAGGGTCACTCAAAAGCGTACCGTTTAAGGAAAAGGGTGGACGATTTTTTGTTTCAATTTTTTTCATGCTAAGTCTGGCGAAATACACAAAAAAGCTTTGGTTTTTTAGTTGATGCATTTGTCTATCTACCGGAAAAAAAATGTTACTGCAGTTTTGATATTAAATCAATACAAGGAAATATCTCTATTTACTAGAAGTTGACTACATAATTTTGTTTTCTACTGGAGTTTATTAACATAGTTATTCTAAACAAGAGAAACGGACATTCTAAACAAGAGAAAGGTTTTTTATATAATTTAAAATAAATAATAGTTAAAAATAAAAATAAAAAGATTAAATATATTTCTTTTATTTACAAAAGATGTGTGAACAATTAAAAACAATATAGGAAAAGAATCTCAGGTTTTTACAAAATCTTGTGGATTTTGTAAAAACTTTTTATTTTTTTTAAATTTAATCAAGTTATATTTTTTTTTATTTAAATTTTCTATTCTCACTGGGACAAAGCGTTTTGAAAATAGTAAACATTCCATTCTACCTGTTAGCAGTAATGACATAACTTTTCATTCATTGTTTGTACAAAACAGAAAACTGCTTTTTAATTTAAACTGAATATGCCATTTAATTATTATCAAGTAGATAATATTTTATATACTTGATTATATACTTAATAAATATATAATAGACTTATACTAATATAATATATATTAGTGTAAATATATATATATATATATATATATATATATATATATATATATATATATATATATATATATATATATATATATATTTTTTTTTTATACAAATATAATATATAAATAACATATTTACTAGTAGATATTTTTAAAAAAAATGCGTTTGTGAAACTAGTGGCTAAACATTTTTTCTTTTATTGATTGTGAGCACGCTTCTAAAAGTTTCAATACAGAGTATATAACAAATATATTTGTTATATGTATTGTTTATTGAAACTTTTTTTTTTAATTTTAAGTTACGTTTAGCTTAATTAACAGACTTAAATATAAGCTTAACCGATTCGAAGATACCAGAGAAAATAATTAGTTTATTAACTAATATTTGACAAAAAATATTTGATATTCCAACGTTTTGATGTTTTTGAATTTTAAATATAATAGTCATTAGTTAATAGAATATGATCGAACATGTACAAAATTGAAACTTTAAGTAACTTTTAGTTTGATAAACTTTTTATGCTGTTTATTAAAAAGATTTTTATAAATATTACATTAGATATTTATAAATATTATGTTAGATATATATATATATTACAATAGATATTTATAAATATTATGCTAGATATTTAATATTTTAATATTTAGGCTAGAATTTTCATTGAAGTGTCGCAAGTTTTGATATTTTATTACACTTTTATGCGATTCAAAGTAAAAGTTCTAGTTAAGCAAAGTGTTTTGTCAAATGGACCCTAAAAAACTATACAAGTTAGCCAATGGTTTGACTTAACCAGGGTATGATTAAGCAGATAATATGATAAAGTTCAACTGGAATTTAAAGAACATGCTTGATTTAGCTTTCAAATAGAAGCAATAAATCACTTTTAATTTGAACTTATAAGGCATAAATTAAAATCGAAGTATGTCACACATAAATTATGCATGACGTACTTTATTACAAATTAATAATTACAAATTAATAATTTTTTTATTTAACAATATGCAATCTCTTCTGTTTAAACATATTTTGACTTCAGCAAAAAAGTTTTACTTAAAATATTTTCTAGAAAATCATCTTATACTTTTCTCCTTCGCAAGTTCTTCAGATGAGCGTAATTTTTTACTCTTGTAATGAAACTAGCGAGCGCTTTTTGTTGCTCCCAGAAGGTCCCTCACAAGCTTGTTTCATGTGCGCAAAGCGATCACTCTCGCTTTATCACAAGGCCTGCATTGTCATCATTTTCTGGGACATAATTTAAAAACTCTAAATTAGTTCTGATTAATTACAAATTCAATTGCCTCTCAGCAAGTATCTTTAAAGATTTCACGAGAAAAAGTTAAAAAGACAATGGAAAAAAAGTTAAAAAGACAACAAAATGTTATGTTTTATTAAATAATTTATGAACATATGTGTGGATATATGAATAATATGAGCAGTGGCTGGATAGCTCAGTTAGTTAGTGTCAAATTAATTGTTAAAACTCAGGCTATTGTGTGATTGGAGTTCAAATTCAGTCACCGCTATCTTATTGCTTGAGTAGTACTTTTCTATGCAAAAATGTTGGTCAATAAAAATGTTTTAGTCTTTATATATTAAAAATGTATTAGTCTTTATGACTATATGTGACTGTTCCTATGTTAAGCCAACAATATCTTCGTATATAAGAGCATTATATAGCAAAATATAACATGAAATTCAAATAAATCAATATTAAATAAAATTATGCTTTTATATGCATAAAATATGCAATATCAGCATACAAAGTTATGACAAAAACAATATAACAAATTAGCAATAACAATATAACAAACTTAAAAACTGGTTTTGTAATATTGCCAGGGCGAATAGGTAGAATTTCAGTTCTTCCCCAACTGTTGATTAATAATTGATAAAGCAAGTTTCACATCAAAAAACTTTTCTAAATTAAAACCATGTTTCAACAATAGGTAAACTAAGAATGACAAAAGCAGAACTAAAAAAATAAATTATTATAAGAATAAATAAAGGTATATTTAATTGAAAAAGTATAAAGTCCTTTAAGTTAAAGACTAATACATAATTGCAATAAAAACTTAATAAAATGTAATTTATTTAATTAATGTAGTGATATTAAACTATGCAATAATTGTTAACCAAAACATTGATTACATAAAATTTGTCAATTGAGTAAAAACTGCATTTTAAGCTATTAAAAAATCTTATTTGTTTAATGTACGTTCTTATAATAATCTATAAAGATTAAATATCAATTTAATCTTTATATTTGTTATAAGAACATAAATCTGAAAATACGTAACAACAAGTTCTTTAACAAATTAATTTCAGTAATAACAAAGTATCTTTAAGTCATTAAATAAAATCAATATGTTTTTATATAAATCAACTACTACTATTTTTAAAAATTTGCTAATATTTAAAGTTCTAATGAACTTTTCAAATGCTGGTTTATACTGAACTTGAAATCAAGATAAAAAATAACATTGACAAAAACTAACAATATCCTTAAAACAATAAACAAAAACTATTTTAGTTTAAACTATTTTATGAAAATGAAAAATTTAATCAATAGTTTTTCACATGCTAAACAAATTATTTTTGTAACTAACTACAAAACTATAGTATAAAAATAAAGATATTAGTTATAATCTTATTGTTTATAATCTATATTAGATTATAATCAATAAGATAGATTATAACATCAAATTATCAAAACAAAGATAAATAACTAGTTTCTTGTATTAAACTTACAGAAGTTTGTTGAGAGTCAATCAAACTTTTTTATTTTGTAATTACTAATTTGAATTTAAAATTTTAAAATGTGTAAAAATTTTCAGTTTTATTTATATTTTTTGCCACCATAATTTTTTTTATTTTTTTGA